AGTCAATCGTCTAGATGATTTTATAATAACGCGGCTGTCCCAGCAGGGCTTCGTCCTTGAACCTATTTTTAATTTTCCATAATGACCTTCCCAAAGAAATCATCTCTCAATTTGGAATCTACACTGACGATACAATTTACTCCTGCCTCGATAGTAAGGCTTATCAGTCTGACAAGATCAAGATGGCAGCCGACGTCCAAGACGACCTCAAGTCCATCGTTAAGTGAAGCAAAAGATAGCTTGTTAATTTTAACGCCTCCAAAACTAAACTTCTCTCCATTAATCATCTCTCTACCTTCTATCAACATAGCTGATGCTAACTTCCACGAAAGTGACTCTTCTCGAGCTAACGTTCTCAATTCATTGATAGGTCAGCTGCGAAGAAAGTTGGTTCACTGTGTCGTGCGAGACAATTTTTCTCTCCAGAGTCTATCTTATATATTTATGTTCATGCTTAGAATATTGCTGCTATAATATGTCCCGATGTCCCTGCTATTCATCTTGAGCTCTTTGATAAAATGCAAAGAAGAATCAGCAATATTATTGGTTCTGGTCTGGCGGCTTGGCTTCAGTCAATTGCCAACTGCCGTAAGGTTGCCTCCCTGTGCCTTTTCTATAAATACTTTCATGGTAATTGTTTGGATGACCTTTTCGCTATGGTACATTGTCTTTTTTAATTTAAGCGCAGTACTAGGCTGGTGTCGAGATCTCATCAATTCACAGTTGAGCTGGCTGGATATAGCCGTAACTTCTATGTTAACTGTTTCTTTTCTCGCACTTTTCACTTGTGGAACTCCCTTCCGTCTCCATGCTTTCCAGCCAACTTTAATCTACAAAAGTTTAAATTCAATCGCTATCTACTGCCTTCCTCGTAACGAGGAAGGCAGTAGATAGCGATTTATCTCTGTTTCTAATTCTTCCAACATTCTGTAACCCGTTGAGTTTTAGTGGTTTTACTGCCTTGCATGGGGTGATGCCGATTTTTAAAAAATACATATTTTTAAAATTTTTCTTGTATAAAAGTGCACACACACACACACACACACACACACACATATATATATATATCTCGATGCGAGTTCTCATTGAATAGTTTTAAATATGCAATTACATATTATGTTTACTTTTGGTGACAGTGAATTGTTTCAAATTCACATGTATATTTTAGATCTTTGCAGTTGCCTGTAAGAACAAGTTCTTGTGTCAGTTATTTAATAAATTATTTTTTTATGTTTGTACGTACACACATTCGTGAAAGACATAGAATTGTAAAGTTGGCACAGATACGCAATTTGCTGTACTGTGAGGATTATGGTATATCTGAAGTGAGTATAAATATGAGACAGAAGTGTAAATTCCTTTGTATATTTAGATGTTTTCAAGTAGTACCTGATTTCAATGCCGGTGCAAGGGTCGCATAACCTTCACCATTTATGATACGGGCTCCCACTTTACTACATCTCAATTTTCATAAGGTAGTATTCATATAAAATATACATTTTATTGTAACCTATGTACAATAATGGATCATATGCAATAAAGGTGAACAATTTAACTAGAAAAATTGGAAATAAATACAATGTATCTAAATACAAATTAGAGATCATTTCATCTTAAATCAACAAGGTTTTGCGGCTATTTTTAACATTAACTTGATATTTTTCTTTTTTAAATAGCTGAATAATTTTAACACATTCTTCATTATGAATAAAAAATAGTGAATTTTATATAGTGTTTTTTTTTAATGTTACATGAACAAAACATTCTGAGTTTTGAGCACCCCCCCCCTAAAATGACATCAAAATGCACGTTATTTAAGCTTAGTTTAATTTGTAACGTATATATATATATATATATATATGCAGCTAGAAAAAAAAAAGCAAATGTTTATAAGATAGCGAGGGTCAGGAAGCACTGCCCGGGGCCTCCAATCAGGGTTCTGTGGTAGTACGCACGGACCCTGCCTCATTGAATATGTTTTTTGTCTCAGTGAGTAATGATCAAATATTAAAGTGAAATCGCTATTACATTCGGTACGATATTATATTAAGAGATGCACTTTGCGTTTAATTAAACCAAACAGCTAAACTTGAAGATACATAAATAAGATTAGCCTAATACAGAATCACATCAAACAAAGAAACTTTTCTGCGGAAAAGCTTTGCATGCAATGAAAAGTCAGCATTTGAACCTGGGCTTGAGCACTAGTTCTGTGTGGAATACGCAACTATCTTAGCCACTAAGCAAGACCAAGATGGATAGGCTTAAAATTAAAGATTTCATTATGAAAGCTCTAAGAAATATTTGTCTAAAGCGGGTATCTCAAACTTAATCACACTGATTTTTATCTTTACTTCTTTACTGTTTTTCTCCTAAAATGTGCCATGAAAACTCGAGAACTTCAAACTAAATACAAAGTCTAAATGCAAAAATGGAGACAAACTCATTCAAGCGCATATTTTTTCATGGAAACTTTCGTAAAATAATTTTATCTTTCAATTTGAAGTTCATAGAATGAATCAAGAAAACAGTATCTTTAATTTTGCTAGCTTTTGTTGCACATTCTGCACCAAAAATTGCTTTACAAATATTATCAATTTGCAATGACCATCTAAAATAAATAGTCCTGGGTATGATGATAAACTATATTTGGCAACAAGGATTTTAATCGGGAGATTAGAGGTTTTTCAAGAGCGTGGAACCACCTGTTAATTACTATTATTCCCAGGTCCACCATGGCCCAGAGTGGTATCACCTTTTAGGGCCCCAGCTGTTCAAAATATTTAGATTTTGGCTTTAAATAACCCATAGAGATTGATACGCCACTAAACAAAATCAAGCAAACAAACAACCAACATGAAAGGACTCTTAAAATCTAAAAAGTATAGAGTAAATTCTTGATTGAGGAAACCGACAACTACCAACCACTAATCTCTCAGCCCTAACTTTACCCAACCGCTCTCAAAGTCAACATAAAATGTCTTAATACGCTTCGCTAGCATTTGAATGTGGAAAAGTTTTTCCTCACTAAAAGAGAAATTCAACCCCTCCCTATAATATCCTACAATTTCTTAAAGAAGCCAAATTGTATTCCAAACAAAACTACACGCACATCACCGCCTCTAGTAATTATGTTCACACAAACATGCATATGCACAAAAGCTGAATAATATCTACCATGTATTAAAATGTGAAAGCAGAATAATACTTGTATTATTTCAAAGCACCTAAGAAAATTCCATTTTGGCATTTAATGACCAACAAGGAGTTGATATGCTGTTAATCAAACAAATTAATCAAAATCTAAAACAAAAGTTTAAAAGAATATCACCAGTAAAGAAAAAATAGATGTTCTTTTTACAGAGATACTAAACTATTTAGCGAATAATAATAAATTAGTAAATAAATAATGGCATGAACTTTCTAGAGAAAAATATGAAATGTCTAAATACGCAGAGCAAAAATAATTCCATGCACAAATCCGTCTGATTTGATATCGCAAAAATGTGTGAAAGTCAAATTTATCCTGGGTATGACGATAAACTACATCCGACAGCAAGGTTTTGAGAAGCACAGAACCACCTCTTAATTGCTGTTGTTTCCAAGTTCATCCTAACCCGGAGTGGTATCACCTGTTAGAGTCCCAGCTATTGGAAATAATGAACCCCCAAACTGGAGTCAAATCATTATGAATGTATAAAAATATACTTTTGCATCCTTCAATAAATTGGAAAAGTGAGATCAAAATTACCAGAGCTTCCCCTAAAATTAAATTTCGGCATTAAATGACCCATAAGGTGTTGATATGCCGTTAAACAAACCAAACCAAACAGAAAGTCAAATATAAACTATTTGTGTGCATGTCAGAATGATGTCATAAAAAAAAACTTATTAAATAACACGTACAATTATTATATTGTGTGTCGGGTGCCTACTGTGACTCTTCGTCTCGAGGAACAATTCGCAAGATGTAACGTAACCACGTGCCCTAAAACAGTGTCCCAAAATATGTTCATTTTAGTAAATGACTAATACAAATGTTGCAACCCAAAAATGGCACAATAAAATTCATAAGTAAACAAACATACTCTGCAAAGAATTGTTCAAATGAAAAAAAAGAACGAATGCATATTACAAGTAATATATCGATGTGAGTGTTTATTGCTATCCATTTTATGAATGTGTAAGAGAAAGTGTTTGCCTAACCCCCTATTTATGGATAGACAGGAAATTGTTCACCACGACTCCATATGTCTGTTTACAGTCTATTCTTACCATAGTATCTTAAGAGAACAGAATGATATTTCCTGATATCTGGAATTACTTGGGTATTATAGACCGTCCAAGAAAATCTTGCCTTTGAAAAACATCATCTCTCAGTCGTATTTCATTTAAATAATACTAAATCAACGAGAACTTAAAATACAACCATATTTCTGAGGCTGTATTTTAAACACAATTTGAGATCTGGTTAAACAGCTTGCTTCCTTATGAATGCGTCTTACGTAAATCCTAATCAATACATTTATTATTTAACTATTAGTAAACTACAATAAGTTGTGCTCCAACTCCAGCAAAAGGTTTCTAATATCTTACACCAGTTCTTTCACTCGCCATTTATTTGAATTAATATTTTTCTACATCTTTCCATATTTCTGAGATGAGATATTTTAACTATTTATATTATTCCGACTGTTGTCGCAACGTTTCGACCACATCTTCAGATGATATACGATAGAATTTAGAGCTGAACCCTTTATTCAGTCCACTGGGCTAGATTGTTCTAAATTATTTCCTTTTAGTAACTGAACTCTTTTGTGGTCAGGTATTGAACTCACAACCCTTTGTGTCAAGTCACTGGATTACTTCAACCAACGCTTTTATCCACTAGGCCACATGAATATGACAATAGAGATGAGGACAACAGTCCGAATAATGTAAAAAGTGTAAATAATATTTTTTTGTCCATCTGCGTCTATTATATCTCTGTTTTCTTTCAGGGTTGGTTACAGCATCCCAATGTTTACAGGATTTGTGGTTATGATGATTTCCACAATTAGTAAGTCTGATATTTGAGTTTTTTTTCGTATCTTGTGTGTTTAAAAAAATGAAAACAAGGTTTCAACTTCATATTAAGGGAATGAGGGGTTCATTTTTAATTCATGAATAATGAAGATCGAAGGAAAAAAACTTTGAAATTAACATTTTTTATTTTATTTTTAAAATGATTGGTGGATGAGAGACGTTCATAGCAACAGATGAAAAGAGGAGCTTGTTCAGCTCTCAAATAGGAAAGTATTCAGTTATAATTAATTTGTAGTAATTTAAAACTTCATTATCATAACATGATTTTAGAACATTTTATTGGATGCAAGGAAGGTCCAATTTTTAGATATTAATTAAATGATTCATATTTTTCAAGTGTGTACAAAGTTGTTATGGAAAGTAAATTCTTCTTATAGATATACTAACTATAAGTGACAATGGAATAATTTTCTATCTGTTAACATACGCTTTTTGAAGCAAACGTTTTCCTTTGACACTGAAACATTCACAGAATTCAAATTCTGAATTTAAATTTAAGATGTTAATTACTAAGTTTTACTTACATAACCAACTGGATAAAACGAAGATTTTGTTGTGCCAATGTCTCAAGTGGAGAGGCTCTGCTTGCCTTGGAAAAACAGCATTCGAAATCTTGGCTTTCATCCGAACTCAAACATCGATGGCTATAGATTTTATGCAACTATTTAAACCACCAAGAAGATTACTGAATGTGAAAGTTATTCACTCATTAGAATAAAGAGAAGAATTAGTGGAAAGCGGATAACTAATGTTGAATAAATCTAATAATCAAAGAATGAATTGACCTAATGACTGTTGAATGAAAGACTTCTTTGTGCTTCAAAGATTTATTCTTCCTTACATGCTCATATTAAGAAAGACTCAATCTGTTAGCGACATAACTTTTTGATCAGAGTTCATTACGTTCCCTAAATATAAATTCTAACACAAATCATAAATAAAACAAATGTCTTTATTTTGTTAACATCAAAATGTGGAAAAGTTTTCCTTACTAAAGGAGAAATTCAAATGCAAATACGAAGGAATATAAAAAAGTTCTAAGCCAGACCAAGAAGAAATTCAAGTTTTTCAGTTGGTTGGTAATTTTTTTTTTTTCAGATTTTGAGACGTGGGTCGATTCTCGTATTTATTTTATGCCTTATTCGAGCTAGTATCTTTATCTTTGTTGTTTTTATTATGATATCTCTCCCAATAGATACTTCTGCCAGGAGTATCTTTCATCTACTAACCCCTGGGATTCGTAAGTATCGTTTTGTTTTGTTTTTTATAGTTTTTCGTGCAAATATTAGATGCCAAATTCTAGTAAAGCAGAACGAAGCGACAAAGTTTCCTATTTGAGTCAGAAAGCACCAAAGTTAAGAATAATAGTTTGAATGATCTGTGAAATAATGACAAAGATGCATTTAAGAATTTCAGTTAACAAATGCAAATGACTTACAGGTTGCTTGTTTATACATTTTGTGATTAACCGAAGTTCTATTCAGAAAAGAAAATAACTTTTTTTATTACACAAACTTGTCTCTCAACAGAACAAACCGACATGGATAACTACGCAAAGATACAAAGGACAGATTTTAAAAAACCACGAATGCATTCATTGACATGAAGCAATGTTGACTGAATTTTTTTTTCTGCCTGTTGTAGGTCAAAGATGAAATATTTAGGATTGTAAGAATTGTTTTTTTGTGTGTGTGTGAGTGAATATTGCATTAAGAATTTGAGCATAATGATTTTTCCAAGTACTATTACCTAGGGTAAGAAATAGATTCATACTTTTCCAAAGGGGGTATTTGCTTGGAAGTGAATATAACGAACCTAACAGAAATTTGAACTCTGATCTCCGCCTTCTCATTGCAAGTCTCTATCCATTACACCGTCCGCACATCCATACAAGCACGAATCTGCTTATTTGAAAATCAGGACCCTCGTTTTACTTATAACGAATTTGATTTTAAACTCAGTAGTCGAAAGCTAAAATAAGGTTAACGTTAAAATACAAAACACAGTAAAGAAAAACAGTCTACTTCTTTGGGCGTTAATCACAAAACTGTACGTGGCTGTAATTAAAATGTAACTTTTATTGGAATTACCTTTCTCGTACATCAGAAAAATATCATATTTATAGTTAAATTGAATTACCATATATAGTCATGTATCATGTGACTTATGATGACCTAATGTTGAAGCTAATTTTAAGACGGTCACATCATACACGAGATATAAAATTAAAGTATATACAGATGGCCCTGGCTACGCCGTTGACCAAACTATATATCTATTTACTGTAGTCAAAAACTACAGTTGTATTTTAAATAAACATGATTTTGATCAAACTTTATTCAATAAAAATGCATGTAATATTCAGATATTAGTATCGTATTATAAAATACAAGCATAGCAAATATGCATATTTTCCATTGTTTACATTTATAAGATGTTTACCTGTTTCTCGTTCGGTTGTTTATGCAACGAGTATAGCGTTACTAACGATATTTTTATCCTTCCCTTTTACTTTTTTAACTTATTTAACTAGAAGATGGGATAAAGAGGCTAGTCAGTTGTAATTTGGTCTCTCAAAAAAGGAACTCGCATGATACACGAGATGCATGATAAAATCATTTTTATAAGTGAAAATTTGGTGGTCCCACGATACGCGAGATCGCGTGTTACACGAGTATATACGGTATGTTTTACTTTTTATCATCATGTTTTCCAAATTGAATGCGAGCACATAGTAAAAATGGGAATGAGCTTTCTAAGCATAAATAAAATAATTTTCTAATATACACCTCTGGTCAAAATCTTAAGACCAGATACAAAAGGGTTAAGCAAATATAAAATACTATTACTTTAATCAAAATATATCTGCGAAACATTTACATTTAATTAGAAAATGTAGTTTATCAACAAACAAGTGAACATTTTAAGCTTTTAATTGATTAATTTAAACAAACCTTGAAAAAAGGTTTGTTTTTTTGTTTTTTTGGTTGATCATAAAGATAAGATAAAGATAAATAAAAATAGCAAATACAGAACAAATAAGTCAAAACGACAATGTAACGACTCAGTATATCATCCATTTTTGCGAATTACTTCGAAATTTCACTTTGGCATACTCGTTATTAACTTCTACATGGGATGTTCGCCCAGGAGGCATAAACTGCAGCACGAAGAGCATCTACAGTTTCAAATTGCGATCCATGTTTATAAACATCTTTTACCATCCATCCCCAAACATACTCGATTGGGTTTCGATCTGGAGAGCATTGTGGATTGAAGCATTGTCCTGCTGGAAAATCCAGTTTTATCCAAATAGATGAGGACCTTCACTAATTAGTGATGCCTTTCTTAACATGTCAATGTAACTAGCAGCTGTTTGACGACCTTTTACCTCCTGCAACTCAAGAGTTCCATTGTACGAAAATGAACCCCAGACCATAATTGATTCACCTCCACTGTGTCATGTTGAGAAAATTTCTCTTGGGACATCTTTTGCATGCCAGTAACACTGAAAACCGTCTGAGCCATCAAGATTGAATTTTTTCTCGTCTGAAAGCAACACCTTCTTCTATTTATCCACATCCTAAGTTTGATAATCGGAAACAAATTGTAAACGAGAAGTTTTATGGTGAAGAAGAAGGCGAGACCTCTGCAGCCGTTTCAAGTTCTTAAACCCTTTCTTATTTAATGCCGTTGAATTGTTCGAGAGCTGCATTCAGCATCTGTATTCACTTTTATCTCATTTGACGTTAGGCTTCTCAACTAAGGCGTCTGTCTAGAGATGGTGAGATTTTATTGGGGCGATTTATTGATTTTTTAGAAGCATACGCATCCGGATTTTTAATGAAGTAAGCATTAACAGTTCTGCTACGACCAATTTCATTTGCAATGGCTCGTTGCGAAAGACCACGTCTTTGAAGTTCAACAATCCTGCTCTGTTCGAACTTTGTTAAAATTTTACTCTTAGCCATTTTAAAATCTGAAATTTAATACTGGAAATGAGCTACGTAGATGTCTACACGCCTGAAGCTATGAACACATTGACTAGTTTTTGTCCAGTAATTTGATTTTTTTTTTCTTTTCTTTTTTTTTTTCACACATTATCAGTAGAAGTTGCAGATTTTCCAGTGCAGATATTGGCCCACTCTGTCATGCCGGATTTTATATTCAGTGGGTGCCAATATCGTGCAATCTGATACAAGATGATCAATTCTTTCTGGATATTTATCACTGAATCTGCATTTTGGGCTAACACAATATTTTAGTATGTGTGCTTGATAATTACTAGTTAACAAGTATTGGTCTTGTGCAGCAAGAATAAAGGATTCGGTTTCTGCTTTTAACCCTTCACTACGTAGCCACTGATGGGTACGGGGATTGTCTACATTAGCTGGACAGAAGCGGCTTTGTCTTGCCATCGTTTCCATATATGGTCGGTTGCATTTACATTTGTCTTTGCTTTCTCTTTTAAGTATTTTACAGCTTCAGTCGGTGTACTGTGCTTTACTTGTATTTCTGCACCCATTTGAAACTCCATCTTGAACTTGTTCGCTTCCTTTATTACGGAATAAAGACGCTTATTACTTTCATTTTCTTTGACACATATTATCATCCAGTCTTCTGTAGTTTCCAGATATCTTTGAATTATTGTAGTTTTGTAGGACAGTTCTAGTTGAACTAATCCTCTGCCTACTTCGGATCTGGGCACATACAGACGATCAGCATCAGCTTTAGGATGATATATGCGGTAGAAAGTGATAAACTTTCTCGTTTTGGTGTCCATTCGCTTAATGTCAACTATGGTCCAGTTAAGGATGTTGAAACTGTATTGCACCACAGAGACAGCCAAGGTGTTTATGGCTGATATCCTGTTTTTCGAATTCATCTCTGTATTCAGTACCAGATGCACACGTCTGTAGTACTCCTTTCTTACCTTCTCCTTCATTTGGGTATGTTGTATACCATCTCCTTCGC